AGGGCTGCAGGGTTTAGGGTTTGGGGTTAGGGTTTAGGGTTTAGGGCTTAATTGCAGAAATCCTGCATTACCCATAATAAGGAACGTGCCGTAATTTTCCATAGTTTAGGGTCCTTAAGGTAATGCAGGATTTTATATCATCACAAGAAGGGCTGTTGGGCTGTAGGCTTTCAAGGGCTTAGGAAGATTTTTAGAGTTCTACTTATCGAACTTACATGGATCTTGCAGAGGTTACAGTAAGTGTGGTTTCGGAGCTTCGGCTTCAGGGTGGGAAAAGGAGGCTAGGGTTTAGGGTTTAGGGTTTAGGCTTTAGGGTTGAGGGTGCATGAGCTTTGGGCTTAGGGGTTTGGAAGCGATGAGCATTTTAGTGCTTCGGGGCTGCAGGGTTAGTCTGGGGCAGTGGATGCAAGCCAGCTAGCTGCAACCACAGACAACTACTGTTGAGGATATAAATCCTGCATTACCTTAAGGACCCTAAACTGTGGGAATTATGGTATATTCATATTATGGGTGATGCAGGGTTTATATCATCAACCGTATGACCCCGAACTACGCCTCACGACCCCAACCAGGGGATTCCGTTGGGTTCAGGAGCATGGCAGACCCTAAACCCCGAACCTGTAAACCCTAAACCCATAAGCCCTAAACCCTAATCCTGAACCCTGCACCGTCGATGATTTCGCGTGGTTCGGGGATCTAAACCATGCGCAACTGCCATGTTCTAGTAACTAGTATAAACAGCATAAGGGGAGCCCAAGCAGTAAGGCTGGTAATTACCTAAACCCTAAACCCTAAACCCAGGCTTCTGTATTAACCATGGCGCACTCGCAGATCAAGAAGCGCCAGGACGAACCCTAAAGCTTCATGTAAAAGGCCCCGCATCCTCTTCAAGCCCTTCACACCCTAGGGTGGCGGTTTCGGGTGGAGGGATTTAGGGTTTAGGGTTTGGGGTTGAGGGGCTTTTAGAGGTTGAAGCTTAGGTAAGTCCCGCAAACCCTGAACGCCAAACCCAAACCCAAGACCCAAACTGCAAGCAATCTGACCTCGAGCTCTGCGCATCGTCTGTGGGCCGCCTCCAACTCCTGTGGGTCACAGGGAGTTAGTTATAGGTAGTGGGTAGTAGGTAGTAGGTGGTAGGCAGTAGGGTGCAGGTAGTAGGCAGCAGGTAGTAGTAGCAGTCGTAGTAGTAGTAGTAGTAGTAGTAGTCGTCGTCGCGGTGGTGGTCGTGGTGGTGGTGCAGGGACTTCGGCGACACAGCGTGGATGGATAACGATGTACAGGACTCGAAGTCGGATTATAGGCGACTGACTTTTGGAATAAGGTTGGGGATTATTGTGTAGCTGTATAGGGAGGGTAGCTATCTATCAATACATATATATATATATACAATATTATATAATATTATATTTTTTATTATCATGTTATATTATATATAATATAGTATTAAATAAATAAATAAATAAATAAATATATATATATATATATATTTATTTATTTATTTATTTATTTATTATTAAGGTCTGCTGCTAGTTACGCAGCTGTCTAGACAACCTGAAGTACCTGAAGAGCTTCTCGAGCTTTCTGGTGCTTTCAGGCTAGCCGCTTCGAGTTCTGTTATTTAAGGTTTAAAGTGGCTTTGGATGTAGAGTTTAAGGCTTTGTGGTTTAGCATGGCTTAGGGCTTTGGGTTTAGGGTTGGATGTTGAAGGGTTCAGGGTACAGAGAATATGGTATGCAATCCACCCAAGAATCGCAACTAGCAGAAAACGTTGTCTGGCTGAGCGGGCGCTGATTACCAGAGCTGGGTAGACAGAGTCGTCTACCCTCCGCGACTGAAAAATCATGTAATTAAAAACCTAAAAGTCTAAACCCGAAACCCTACATACGACACCCTCGACCTGAAATAACATAAACTTACAACCTGTTTACAACCTAATTAGAACACGTCAGCCCTGAGCTTCGAACCGTCCTACAGCCCTAACGCTGTGAGGCCCAAGTAACTAAAGCCTAATCCCAGAACATACACAACCCCGAAACCCTCAGCAGGAAGCCGCACACCCTAAACTCCTCAATAAGAAACTACCGTAACATAAAGCCTAAACGCTACAATACACGAAGCCCGAACTTATCACAGAAACCCTAAAGCCAAGACCACGAACCAAGAAAGGCGCCTCCCCTCGGATCCGAAGATCGTCCGCCAGCTTTTGCTTCACAGCCTCCGTTGTACATTTGTAAGACCCATAATAATATTCATCATGATTACTATACCAAGCCTGAAATACCCCTACTCCTACTAGTAGTAGTAGTAGTAGTAGTAGTAGTAGTAGTAGTAGTAGTAGTAGTGATGGACAAAATTCTGCATGACCCAAATATAGTATAGTACCATAAATCCCATAGTTTAGGTATATAAGTTCATGCAGG